AACGTAAACTTTGCGGCATTGTTATTAAAAAACTATAATAGAAATAACAATTCTAATAATCACACTGTTAAAACAATAGAATAAGATTAATAAATACACTTATTTAATCTATCTAGGTGCAAAAATGATCCCTTCAGACCAAAATAACTGCGGCGCTAATATCTTACTTTTGGTTCTCAAACACATGGCCGCATCCGTGCAAGTTTCCTGACGGTTATTAGGCAGTAACGAACTGTGTGACATAAGATTCTTACTATTAGTTGACGAACTGTGTGGCGAAATTTTCCGGTGAATGCCTTATTACCGAGATACAAGGGGTGGACCTTTTTCCCCGGGGACCTTTTCTTCCCGGTCTACCCTACTTTAAAAAAAACAGTATGATTACACGCGTTTCAAAAAAGATATTTATTTTGAAGATAGAAGATGGTCGTTCTTTAGGTGTAAAAAAAAATGTTAAATTCTCTCTCTTTCGAGTAAAAGGCTATTTATTATTGGTTTAAGTTATTATTAATGTAAAAATTATTATTATTATTAATACTGAAGACAAATATAGATGAAAAATGTAAAATATAAAAAATACATACAAAACATACAGCAATCTCAGTATACAAATAGAATATGCTCTTTAAATCTAAATCAGCGGATAATCACTGATTCAGTGATATCAAATATGCCACTGTTAATTAATGAATGAGATGTGATATCCCTAACCTATAGCGAATCTTGCTTTAGTTTATAAGTGTAGCGCATTAAACGTATACGGTATTGTAAGATTGAAGAATTACAATGTGCTAGAACGTGCAAATATCGGTATTTTAACTATATACTTTTTTTCTTTTATAGTAGAATTTTATTGATTATTCGGTGCCAAATGTGCTATGATATTCTGATAATTCAGTACCAAGTATGCCATTTCAGTCGATTATCCACTGATTCATGTTTAGAGAGTGTGTTTATCGGAGTGATCCCGATTGATCACGGCTCGATTGGACACTACCAATCACAGCGACCGGTGCTTAGGAGCTTTGTAGTCTCAAGCGCTGTGAGTGGCTCGTGTCCAATTGAGCCGTGTCCAACTGGGTGCCACCCGTGTTTATCACACATAGGTCGTAGACACGACGGACATTCTTTCCTGATCGTTTCTTTTATCTTTACACAATCCACATGTTACTTATTTTTGTAATTTAATGCAAAAATATAAATCATAAATTTTTTAACTAAAACAACACGCTGGTCACACTTACTGACATTTTGACCCGAGAAAAAAACGCTTTTTGCGCGAATGGCTGCTAGACATATACTAACAATCAGATTAAAAAGCTAAACATCTCTATTGATAATTGATACTTCAAACCTCTAGTAGATGGTAGGTAAGTGCCCTTCCGAAGGCAGGAAGGTATTAGAATTTAGCTTTGAAAGACAATGCTCGGGTCATTTTGACCCAGAAGGACCATAAAGGGTTAAAAGTCATTGAAAAAGGGTTCGCGTCATTGATACAGAATTCTGTTACTTTCGGCTATTCAATTTCCGATAGTTCTGTAATATTTTCTCCGCTTTCTATAGGTTTTCTTCAGAGTTCCAGCCTTTAAATACTTTTAAATAATTTTTTAAACAATCTGAACGTTGGCACTGCACATCATGAGTAAAGTACATGGAAATAACTGTTACAATTGTCACGCTCATAAGTCACCCATCAATATATTTTTTGGTTATAAGAACCAATATAGGTGAAATATTTCTCGCTGTTGACCGAAAGAGGTTAGTATTTGTGTTATTTCAACATAGCCAAAAGTGACTGCTGTATATGAAAGTACCATCAATAGGTTTTAATAATCAGTATGTAACATTCGATTGGATACAAAGAACACAATTTTTCATCGCATTAAAAATGTGTGTTTCGTAACAAAAAAAAAGATCATTTGCGGGAAGCATTACTCTTCTATTTTAATCTCAAGAAATTTGCTGCTGAAAGTTATCATTTGCTAGTGGAAGATATCAAAAAATGGCTCGATGACTGGATTGCCTCGAAAAAACCTGAATTTTTCTACGACGGAATCCATTTGTTACCCGAAAAGTGGAAAAAGGTTATAACTTTCGATGGACAATATTGTGAATAAAATATCAGGTACCTTTTTGATGAAATAAACATGAGTTTTTGTAACAAGAAACAGTGAGAATTCATTCAAGTACCTAATAAGAACTATAGTACAATTGTGATATCCATAAGATTGGCATATCTTAACGGTTATGGCTGTAAAGATATGTCCATTTTACTGTTATTACAACCAAACATATTGATGGGCAAAAATTATCATTATTTCTGATTGTGGCAACCATAGCATTTTTTCTGTGTTCCTTCTAACAGTCACTTGCAACTGATTTTCCGATAGTTCTGCAATAGTTCCAGCACTTTCTATAGATTTCGTTCAGAGTTCTAGCCTTTAAGTATTTTACAATAATTTTTTAATCTGAGTGCTGGCACCGCATATCAAAAGTGTAGTACCTCTTAACAGCAAGTTCCAGTCAACTAAAGGCTGGAACTTTGAATAGAAAGTGTCGGAACTATTGTAGAACTATCGGAAAATTTCAAGAAGCGGCTAGAATTGGCCGTGAGGAGGTACTTTGCTCTTATTATGCAATGCCAGCGTTCATATTAAAAAAATTATTTTTAAAATATTTAAAAGCCGAAACTGTCAGGAACTGTTCGAGAACAACTCTTCGAGAACAAGAGAATTTCATAATAAAAATAAATTTTTTTGAAACTTGAGGTGCCAGCCTCAAGATTAAATTTTTCCAATTAAAGATTTCAGATTAAAGATTTTCGATTTTTTAAAATGAGGTACCAACTTTACAGAGATCTTTGTTCTTAGAATTGTTCCACATACAGTCCTAGTGCGAAATATCATTACAAATAGTAAAATTTTCAGTAGTTTCAATACATGGAACTAAAGATGATTTTTTGTAATACAAATGTTTTTCTCATTTGTTTAAACAATTTTTTAAACGATTTTTCAAAATACTTAATTCCTAATTTTATTGTACTAAAAAGTTATGTAAATTGCGTGCATTAGAAAATTAAATTTTTTACTGAATATGAAATTTTTGCGAATTTTATACACATTTTATTAAAGACTACATAGATTAATCGGTGTAAGTGACACTGTGCGCCTACACCTACTCTTAAAAACAAAACATGTCAGAGGTTCGATGTCAACTGTAAAAGATTCGATATTTTTATAACAAGATACAATGTTCAAACATTAATTTAAGTCCTTTTAGAAATCTCGCACATCATACT